TCTGTGACCTGAGTGTCTATTTTTTACCCAAATTGGGGAAGTTTTCAACAGTTATGTCCTCAAAGTGACTTTCTGTCCCTTTGTCTCTTTCTTGGTACCCTTATTATGTGAATATTGTTTTGTTTGCAGTTGTCACACAGCTCTCTTATCATTCTTTGCATTCCTAGAAATTCTTCCTGAGATCCTCAATACTTTTCTGCAGATTAGCAAGCATATTTATGACTTTTACTTTGAAATACTTATCAAGAAGATTGGTGATCTCCATTTCATTTAGCCTACTTTCTGCTGTCTTATTCTGTGTTCTGTTTGGAACATAGTCCTCTGCCTCTTCATTTTGTCAGGGTTTCTGTGTTTCTTCCTGTGTTAGATGAATCTGCTTTGCTTCCTGGCTAGAGAGTAATGACTTAATGAAGAAGGCGTCCTGTGGTGCCCAGATGCTCAAGACTCTTTCCTGTCCAGTGCCTTGTTTTCATTTGCAGTAGAGTCCCAGTTGCTGTTTGTGGGCAGTGGGCAAGGCTGCCTTTCTGTCTGTCTGCCGGCACTGGTCTCAGTCTGTTGCACCTGGCCATTTGTCCCAGCTCTCCCTTTGCCCCAGCTGTCCCTTTGTGATCAGACCAGTGGTTTCTGCTGGGATCATTGTGCAGGGTGCTCTCTGCCTTCCCTGCATTGATGGCAGGGCTTTTAGGGTTAATAGGGTGGGTGGGGCAATTTCGTGGCTCTGGAGCAGGGCAGGGTGGGGAGGGTGAGTCATATGGTGGCTCAGCATGATGGGATAGCAAGTGGTGTGGGTGCCCCCTTATAGTGGTGAAGCATGCAGAATGGTGCTTGACCACCTGCAAGGAGGGAGGAGTTTTTGAAGTCAGCTTCTGCAGGTGCCTCCCTAGCTGGGCTAAGACAGGGCCAAGAAAGCTGGGAGAACCTCCTCTATCTTCCATGCAATGACATCTGATGCTTCTGGGCTGAGTGGGCTGGCATGCTGGAGGTGTACATGGATGCTCCTTGAGGTTGAGCCTCCAGTGAGGGGAATGGATTATCTAGGGCTTCCAAGAGTACCTTACCTGTTAGGCCAAGGGAGGACTGGGGTGGTATTTCCACCTGACCTTTCTCCTGAGGACAGAACTTCATTTTACCCTCATCCCTCTGGCTCCCTTCTTGCTGTTGGCAAATCTTAGAAACTGCAACCTCTGCTTTGGGTCTCACAAGGACCAGGGAAACGTGCCTGTCCTCCATAGGCAGCTGGAGTCTCAGCCTCCCAGAGTGTTCCAACTGTCTCTGGTGTCCAGCCCTTCTCTGTTCTATTCTTCTTCTCCCTCATGTGGGCTGGGATGGGGGGAAGTACTTGGGTCCTGCTCAATCTCAACTCTGCTATACTCCTCTTTTCTGTCAGTTTTCTCTCCTTCCCCAGGAGGTGGTGTGTTCTGCAGTATCAGGTCGTTTTCAGGGTTAGCTGTATTTACTTCCTTGGTGTATTTGTGGCAGGAGTTTTCTGCCTTGCCTTCCTACTCTACCATTGTTTTTCCCTGCAAAGTTGCTTCCTTTTTCTCCTGGTTCTTACAGCCTTCAAGGCAAGGGACAAACTCTTCACCATAGATAACTTGGGTCAGTGCAGTGACATCGGGTTTTGGCTTGTTTCTCATCCCGGGAACATTCACGTTCTGGTAAGGACATCTTAATTTCTCTTGAGGAACAAGCCTTCTCCAACTCTTTCCTGTTCCAGCTGACTGTTTGCTGCTACTCCCTGATCCTCCTAACTTAAAAGTGATTGTATTTTCTGATGTGGATTCCTTAGGTGTAATAATTTCCATGTGTGTTTCATGAAGGTTCTTCAGGGCTTTAGTACCTAATAAGTTACTTAAAAAATTTCCTTTTTAAAGACTTTTTAAAAGACTCATTAAAATCCAAACACAAGAAAATGTAATAAATACCATATTTTATCATATTGAAGATTATTAGTTGTATTGCCAGGTTTATTTATTTTCATACATACCTGAGAAAAACATCCTCCTCAGCCGTTTATAGGCATACAGTTAATTTTTTCAAATGTCATTCATTAAGGAGGAGTTAGTTCTGTAATATCCATTAAAAAAATAGTATCTGTGTATGTGTATTTATCTAAATAAGTTTAATTAAATATTCTGCTATGTTGCTGCAGCTACAACTCATGTTTGAAAGCATGGAAACATCTCTTCCTCATGGAGCATGTTCACAGAGTGGGTTATTCTCATGGTATAGGTATAATTATGCAATTAAAACTGACTGGGGATCTGGTAGCATCATAACTAATCCAGTATCATTTTAGTTTGCACAAGTTTATGCAGTTATTCTGACTTTTACATTTTTGATAGTTATTATAAATACAGTTTTTACCTTTTATGTGTAATATATAGTCTTTTCTCTAAGCATATATATTTATATGCACATATATGTGTGTATATATGTATACTCCATTGCTAAAAGGCATAAAAACAAAAACTGATCTAATTAAACCACTCTATTCAGTAAACTTGTTGCCAAATCTACTGACCCTTTCTTCTTTATTCTCTATACTGTCTGAACTATTTAGCCTTTGATAGTTGTTCACTACCTTCCTTAAAACTCTTCACAGAATGTTTACTTTTATGAAAGTTAACGATAAAATGTGTGTATGTGTGTGTCTGTGTGTGTGTGTAGAGAGAGAAAGTGGGAGCATGAACTTAAATGTGGCATTATTAAAAACTGGTGAAAGACTGTATATATGCTTGTACTAATTTTTCAAGTTTTGTATATGTTTGAAAATTTTCAAAATTAAATTAAAAAATAAATGAAAATTAAGGAGACACCAGAAAGTACAAGTAGGAACTACTCATTATGGTGGGACAACTCTGCTGCTTTTTTGCCCACAGCAGACCCAGTGTTACCAGTAACTGTTGTTTTCTGTGTTAAACAGTCACTTTTAGCCTGCTGATGATAGCTGGGTATTTTTAGGGCCGTAAGCTCTTATGCATTAATGTCAATTTTAATTTTAGTAATTGGTGGAATCAGAAAATGGGGGAAAAAGGAATGTAAAACAAAACCCGAGGCTGCAACTGTGGCTGTGGCTGCTGCCGCCAGGTAGCTTATGACCCGTATTACTCATGAGATTAAAATTATAGATAAAGCAGGTTGGGATGGCAAACTGGCATTATGCATCAAGAGACCTAACAATGTTCGTGCCTTTTAATCCAATAATTTTACTTATTAAAATAAATCCAAAGAAAACAATTTAGAAAAAAAATCAAATCTGGTCTCAGGATTTCAGTTGATAGTATAGAATTCTCTTGGTTCTGTGGACAACAACCAAAACAACCGCCAAATCCCTCCCCTGTCAAAGAGACCATGCAAATTTATTTGGAAAAAGTCTTTTCCTGATTTTAGCAAACAAAACGCCTCTCTTTTGAATTTGTAGATTGCTTTATAACTTCTTCCTCTTTCTTTTCCTCTTGTCTCTTAAATGTAAGTAGTGCCCAACCATCTGCCTTGTACCCACATCTCTCTTCTCTTGGCTGGCAATTTTAATTGATCTTATGGTTTCTGTTGTTTGTATGTAAATATGTCTGAAATATAAAACCTCAGTCCTCCCTTTTTTTTCCAGTGCTCCACTTGTGGTGTTTACATTCCAACTGCTCACTTTTCATCTTTTGAATATCTTACCTGTGTTGAAACTCTGTTGTATTAAAAAAAAAACATCTAATTTATTCTCTCTCCTAAATGTAATTTTTCTGTGGTCTCTATCAGGCTGTCTTGGAATCTTTAACTTTAAATTCTCTCTTTTTCTTACTCAGCCCTCAAAACCCTCAACTATAGATGTGCAGTGTCTCTCTGGTGTGTCTTTACCTGCAAGTGGTTACCTTAGTTCAAGCTTTTTAAATTTTTTTAAGAATATCTGTAATAGGTCCTTAATTGGTCTCTCTGCACACTCTCCTCTCTACTGAATCTTCCCAGAAGTTTTCCTGAAGCACACATCAAAACCATCTAATTTTCTACATTAAAAACCTTTAAAGACTCACAGTATGAACCAAAAAGGTTCTTGAACTTCATTTAGTCTTCAGTGTCCTCTACTATATAGCTTCAACGTACTTTATTTTTATTTCCCTCCCTCAGATCTTTTTTCTTTCATCCTCTTCATACTTCTGAGCTTTTGTAATTTTTTGGCCTCTACCTGACCATTTCTCTATTTTCACATTTCCAGATCTCATCCATGCTTCAAGAGTTGGCTTTCAGATTTGCCTTCCAGGTGGAAGTAATCTTTTCTTCCTGGGAACTCCCAAAGGCTTTTTCTGTTTCTTTGTTATTGTGCTCAGTATCCTTTCCATTGTACTGTGGTTATTTATGTGCATTGTTTTGGTAGTTGTTAAGTTCTTTAAAGTCTGTATTCATGTTGCATTCATCTATTTCCTGTGTACATTATCCATTCTACTTCTTAATGCATATTTATTAGGCAAATAATAATGTGAAGAGCAATTTTCTTTTGGATATATTTTTTAGTTGAGAAAAAGGAACAAAATTTTGAGGCTACTTCAGTAATATATATAATGAAGACAGAAAAGAGTCTTACGTTCCTAAAAGACCTACACAAATACACTTGGAAATCATTTGGCTAAAAAAGAAATAAAAGAAATCAGATACATAGATGAGGCCTTGGATTACTGATATCAAACTAATTTCAGACAGATGAAACCTAGTTTTAAAAGCCATCTAGAACAGAAGATAGATTTAACAATATGTTCAATCATTTAAACAGTTATTTATACAAGACTTGCAAGCAGAACATTTTTTTCTTTAGTATTTTTATAATATGCATCTCATGTTTTATGTACTCCTAATCTGTTTCTTGATATTGTTGGGCTTTTTTTTCTTTTGGGGGGATATTCTTGATTCTTAAATGGTTCTGTTCCCCCTCTTGCACTTTTGTTGATTTAAAAAATTTTTTTCAGTCCTCTGTCCTGGCAAAACTTATATTTAGAAAATGTTCTGTTTTGCAGGTATCCTGGTCAGATATAGGAGGACTGGAAAATATCAAACAGAAATTGAGACAGGCTGTGGAATGGCCCTTGAAACATCCAGAGTCTTTTGTCCGAATGGGTATTCAACCACCTAAAGGAGTTCTTCTGTACGGGCCACCTGGATGCTCAAAAACAATGATTGCAAAAGCTTTGGCCAATGAGAGTGGGCTGAATTTCCTAGCTATAAAGGTATGGTGCTAAATTTTTAAGGTGCTGCTCTTTTCTAGTCCCCTTCCCACCCATCCCCTGATTCCTACCCTTAGGAAAACATGAAAAGTCATCTTAAGGAGTAGTTAATTTTTATTTGAGGTTGATGGCATATAATTCAGAGAGAGGAGAGATAACTCAAGTGCATATAACCAGAAAACTTGATGGACAATAGAAGACTGCTTTATTTAGTTCTTGAATCTCAGTATTTCTTAATACCATTGTATAATAAAACCAGTCTTCTTTAAAAGGTTTCTGCATTTTTAAATTGTACTATAACCACTTTTAACCAATACTTAATTATAAACGTGATTATGAATTTGATATTTATATACATAGAATTTTCAGACAAATCAGATACTTTATAGGGTAACATTAAATTCCTTAAAAACACTTCTCCAGTAGAGAGTATGTATAGTTGCTGTATTGTGAAACACACACATTTTATGTGTTCACTTCCCGCTCTATAACGTGGGATAAGTAAACTTACTTGATACGTAGTTTTATATTTACTTTAGTACCAAACACTAATACTGTTATTAATTTTTTTTATTTTTTACTTATTTTTATTTTTTTTATTTTGGTATCATTAATCTACAATTACATGAAGAATATTATGTTTACTAGGCTCCTCCCTTCACCAAGTCCCCCCCACATACCACTTCACAGTCACTGTCCATCAGCGTACTAAGATGCTGTAAAATCACTACTTATCTTCTCTATGTTGCACAGCTCTCCCTGTGCCCCCCCCAAACACTATACATGCTAATCGTAATGCCCCCTTTCTTTGTCCCTGCCCTTATCCCTCCCTCCCACCCATCCTCCCCAGTCCCTTTCTCTTTGGTAACTGTTAGTCCATTCTTGGGTTCTGTGATTCCGCTGCTATTTTGTTCCTTCAGTTTTCCTTTGTTCTTATACTCCACAGATGAGTGAAATCATTTGGTACTTGTCTTTCTCCACCTGGCTTATTTCACTGAGCATAATACCCTCTAGCTCCATCCATGCTGTTGCAAATGGTAGGATCTGTGTTTTTCTTATGGCTGAATAATATTCCATTGTGTATATGTACCACATCTTCTTTATCCATTCATCTACTGATGGACATTTAGGTTGCTTCCATATCTTGTCTATTGTAAATAGTGAAGCGATAAACATAGGGGTGCATCTGTCTTTTTCAAACTGGAGTGCTGCAGTACTAGGGTAAATTCGTACAAGTGGGATTCCTCAGTCAAATGGTATTTCTATTTTGAGCATTTTGAGGAACCTCCATACTGCTTTCCACAATGGTTGAACTAATTTACATTCCCACCTGCAGTGTAGGAGGATTCCCTTTCTCCACAACCTCGCCAAATTTGTAGTTGTTTGTCTTTTCGATGATGGCAATCTTTACTGGTGTGAAGTGATATCTCATTGTGGTTTTAATTTGCATTTCTCTGATGACAAGCGATGTGGAACATCTTTTCATGTGTCTGTTGGCCATCTGAATTTCTTCTTTGGAGCACTGTCTGTTCAGCTCCTGTGCCCATTTTTTAATTGGATTGTTCACTTTTTGTTTGTTGAGGTGCGTGAGCTCTTTATATATTTTGGATGTCATCCCTTTATCGGATCTGTCATTTATGAATATATTCTCCCATACTGTAGAATACCTTTTTGTTCTATTGATGGTGTCCTTTGCTGTACAGGAGCTTTTTAGCTTGATATTTGTCCCACTTTGTAATTTTTGCTTTGGTTTCCCTTGCCCAGGGAGATATGATCATGAAGAAGTCATTCATGTTTATGTCCATGAGATTTTTTCCTATGTTTTTTTCTAAGAGTTTTATGGTTTCATGACTTATATTCAGGTCTTTGATCCACTTCTAATTTACTTTTGTGTATGGGGTTAGATAGTGATCCAGTTTCATTCTCTTGCATGTAGCTGTCCAGTTTTGCCAGCGCCATCTGTTAAAGAGACTGTCATTTCCCCATTGTATGTCCATGGCTCCTTTATCGTATATTAATTGGCCATATATGTTTGGGTTAATGTTTGGAGTCTCTATTCTATTGCACTGGTCTGTGGCTCTGTTCTTGTGCCAGTACCAAATTGTCTTGATTACTGTGGCTTTGTAGTAGAGCTTGAAGTTGGGGAGTGAGATCCCTCCCACTTTATTCTTCCTTCTCAGGATTGCTTTGGCTATTCAGGGTCTTTGGTGTTTCCATATGAATTTTTGAACTATTTGTTCTAGTTCGTCAAAGAATGTTGTTGGTAATTTGATAGGGATTGCATCGAATCTATATATTGCTTTGGGCAAGATGGCCATTTTCATGATATTAATTCTTTCTAGCCAAGAGCATGGGATGAGTTTCCATTTGTTAGTATTCCCTTTAATTTCTCTTAAGAGTGTCTTGTAGTTTCCAGGGTATAGGTCATTCAGTTCCTTGGTTAGGTTTATTCCTAGTTATTTTATTCTTTTTGATGCTATTGTGAATGGTGGAATTGTTTTCCTTATTTCTCTTTATATTAGTTCATTGTTGCTGTATAGGAAAGCCACAGATTCCTGTGTGTTAATTTTGTATCCTGCAACTTTGCTGAATTCCGATATTAGTTCTAGTAGTTTTGGAGTGGAGTCTTTAGGGATTTTTATGTACAATATCATGTCATCTGCAAATTGTGACTTCTTCTTTACCAGTCTGGATTCCTTGTATTTCTTTGTTTTGTCTAATTGTCATGGCTAGGACCTCCAGTACTATGTTGATTAACAGTGGGGAGAGTGGGCATCCCTGTCTTGTTCCCGATCTCAGAGGACAAGGTTTCAGCCTCTCACTCAGTATGATGTTAGCTGTGGGTTTATCATATATATATGGCCTTTATGCCCATTTTGTTGAGTTTTTATCATGAATGGATGTTGAATTTTGTCGATTGCTTTTTCAGCATCTATGGAGATGATCATGTGGTTTTTGTCCTTTTTTTTGTTGATGTGATGGATGATGTTGATGGATTTTTGAATGTTGTACCATCCTTGCATCCCTAGGATGAATCCCACTTGGTCATGGTGTATGATCCTTTTGATGTATTTTTGAATTTGGTTTGCTAATAATTTGTTGAGTATTTTTGCATCTACATTCATCAGGGATATTGGTCTGTAGTTTTCTTTTTTGGTGGGGTCTTTGCCTGGTTTTGGTATTAGGGTGATGTTGGC